TAAAGTGTATAGGGTATAGGGTTTAGGTTTTACGTTCCGCACAGCTACGGGCCGGCTGAGTACCTAGGGCCTAAGCCTGGGATGTGGGAGGTTTCGTAGACAAGGCACTCCAAAATACACCCTAGAAGCGGATCCTAATCATGAGGACCCCAAACGATGAACAACCCTAGCTGTGGGATCTCAGGATAAGGATTTTCGGAGTGTGGCGCTAAGTGTCAGACGACCAGAGTGGTCGTTGTCCAACTTCATCCACATCTTGCAGAGCATCTCCACCTACGGCACATTCGGGGCTTCCCTGTTAAGGGATCTACTAAGGGGTCCCTTAAGGGATGGACGCTTTACGGGATCTTCCAAGGGCTCCTTTAAGGCAGGGATCTTCTACGGCCTGGGATTCGGCATCGGATGTGGCATGCTTAGGGTTTAGGGTTCGGGGATTGCGGGGCTTCTTAACGGGCTCGGGGGGATGGAGGCCTAGGGCCGAGGGTGCAAAGTTTAAGGAGTGTAGGGGTTTGTGGATGGAGGGCGCAGAGGGTTTTGGGGGTTTGCGGTTTGGGTTCGGCAGACATTGATGTGGGTAATTGCCATGACATGGGACTTCGGTCTTTGACAACGTCTGAACCATCTGTCTGATACACTTCTTGCAGAGAACGTCACCGGGGTAGCCCATGCGACCATAACGAGCTGGGCCGCAATCTATGGTCCCCCTACACTGTAGCCCTACATCCCCGAAAGTTTCTCCATTCGTCAAATCAAAAGCAAGCCTTGGTTGAACTCGATGTGTCGATGGAGGTGACGGCGACGACGGCGATGATGACAAGCGAGATGTTGATAGTGCTGAAGATGTTCATGAGGCGAAATACAACTTTAACGAAGCGAACAAACTTAGTAGCAGTACACAGACCACAGCAACTAGCAAGAACAGCTACAATAGCGTGAGCGGTGACCAGGATACCACCACGGCTGACTGAGATCTTCTATCTCTCTCACTCACTTTTTTTCTTTGTTGTTCTCTCTCTCTCTCTCTCGCTCTCTCTATGTCGGGCGCTCTTACATCTAGAGTCTAGAGCAAAAGCTGGCTCAGCGAACCTGTGCTCTTGTGCCGATGCTGTCGGTGGTCAACCTGGCATGTTTTGGAAGGCTGGAGGTTCCCGGGCTGCAGATAAAGGCTGTAGGGGGTGTCTTAGACGATAAGGGTTTCAGGCGGAAGGATGCTGGGCTTTGGTTCCGAAGCTTGCTTGGGGAGGGAAGAGGTGGCTGTGCATGCGCAACTTACGACTTGCTGAGCCGGACGACCCGCAAGAGTCGAGCTTCAAGCACAAAAAACACTCGCGAGCCGCACCATAGGGGCCTTGATCACGAAGACTGGGTTTTTGGGGTAATTCTTCGCATGTCTAAGGAACCCTCAAGGAATGGTATTACTAAGTTTTCAGGCATCTCTCTACCATCTAAACAATGAACAGGACCTGTGACGCCCATCCACTGTGCCCTTCGAATCTCGCCAAAGAGGCGTCTCCCGCTTGTTGCTCAGGCCGGCCTGAAAGGACACTGTTGGGTGACTATGGGATAATGCAGCAAGCAGACACATCTGTGTGTATATTGTAGATTTATATGCAGATGTATATCTATATCTGCATCTGTATCTGTATATACATATACACGAATATATACATATGTGTATGCATATAACCAGATGTGCACATGGTTCAGGGCTCATAAGGGTCGGGCTTGGAGGTTTGAGCATAGGAATTGAGGGCACGTATTAGGCAGTGATTACCAAGGATGCAACAGGACTTTGAGTGCAGAAGAGGGCGACTAGGACGCACAGCGTCACAGAGACATGCAAGAGTACAATCGCCGACGAACGGACAGGTATACTTCGTAGTGTTCGACCGAGAGTCATTTGTGCGAGCAAAGCACCCGCATTTAAAGGACTGTCCGCACAAAGGCCAACTTCATTTGCACGTGTCATGGCTAGGGTACTGGCTCGAATCAATTGAAGCAGCTCCACCTAGTTTAAAGTTAGAAATTGTGAGACTCGCAACGAGACACATGCAGAAGTTTGCATAACCACCGGTTGCAGGATTGCTCTTTAAGGGCTTGCGGTGCGCACTGCTATCTGCTCGTTTTGTTTGAATGACCCCTGAATAAGGTTCGCCTCATGACCTCAAGCTAAGAAACCACTGAAGGGGTTTAGGGTTTAGGGTTTAGGGTTTAGGGTTTAGGGATGTCAGAAGCCCACCCAGTTTGCTGCATAGTATGGCGGACGATAGGTTCAACCGCCGCCAAAGGCCTGTGCCTATCTTGAAGTGTTCAAGTAACATGCAGAAAAGACCATCAATATGTTTTGCGTCCTTTAGCCATGGAGGGTCATTAGGGTTTGGGGTCTAGGGTTTAGGGTCTAGGGTTTAGGGTTCAGGGATGGAGGCCCACTTGCATCTCGTATTGTGCCAAGGTCGGCGCAAGACCGAAGACGAAAAAGCGCATCATCTGGCAAGCCTGCTCTGCGCGTGTAGGGTTTTGCGGGTGTGGGGTGGATTTACGGCTTGGGGTTCAGTATGTTGGGGTCTAGGGTTTATGTTCTTCTGGTATGGGGTTCGGGGTTCTGCAATTGAACGAAAACGAACGACACTGGTAGCTGCGATGCAACGAGGCAATCAACATGGAATTCCCAACGGCATTTAAGCTAAACCCATTCTTGCAGAAATCACAACCAGTACTTGCAGAAACCTCACAGCCAGTACCCTAGTTAAGGCTTGTATTACAAACAGATACCCCAAATGACTTTGGACTCCCTCGAACAACAGCAAATACATCGGGCCAGCAACTGGACAGGAAGCACTGTGAGAGCCGTTCAGGCTGACACGGATAGAGATTTGTCCACCCTGAAACTTCGAAATGGATGTTCGCCTAGTAACATGAGCTGTGCATGCGGGCAAAAGCGGAAACTTCCGCACGACTTCTTGGTCTTTGTGCAAACTACTTAAAGGATCATGGGACTTAGTAAGTAGGGTCATAACTAAGGTAACTATACTTATAACCCCAATTAGGGGACTTATAACCTTACTTACTAAGTCCCATGATCCTCTAAGTAGTCGTAGACTTGCCAACCGTCGAGGCAGACCCCTAATATCATCCTCGAGGCTGAGGCGGGCACGCTCATCAAGACTCTAAGCCGAAGCCCCAAAACCCCATAAGCCCCTACTGACCGCGTTTCTGATGAAACCTGACAGGCCCCTATATTGTAGAGCCCTTATAGTCATTACATTTTAAGGAGCCCCCTTTAAAGAAACCCCCGGATTTGATGAGAGGCCGGCCTCTCGTCGATGTGGGTTAAGACGGACGGCACGTTCAATCTGGCCTGGGGTTCAACTTTGTAGGGCTGACAGGGCTTACAGCGCTTAGGGTTCATAGGGCTTATGGGGCTTATAGGGCTTATAGGGTTTATAGGGGTTGTAGGGGTTTTAGGGTTTACAGGGCTTATAGGGTTTATAGGTTTGGTCTCTACTTGGCTTGGGAAGTCGGAGTATGTGCTATGTGCTTGTATACAAGTCGCAGGTCGTTTACACCGCAACATAAAATCGTATTAAATATGTTGCATTGTTTCATCAACGGTATACTGAGTGAAATGAAGAGCTCAATGATTGTTGCAAAGTTAATGAACGGCCCGCTTCGCATAGACGCCTTCGTGCTGAGGGTTCTCTATTTCTCTGGGTGCCCCCTGACAGTCTTAAGTGGGATGCCTATAACCTAACCAGGGGAACAATTAATGTCCCAGTGGACTACTTAGTTCTTGTACTGGACAATCGCGACCTGTTGTATTCTCCTGGCCATGAAAGTTCCGAGGGTACCACTGACACAACAGCATCAGTGCTCCAGCACCGAAGCCCACGAACATGGTAATGGAAGAGCTTCTATGATATATATATATATATATGTATATACACATGCATGCTCTCTCTCCCTATATATACAGATATATATATATATATGTCCTACAAACTAACAAGCACACATGCTTATACGCAACATGTATACGTACATACATAAACATGTAAGTGTGCATGTGTATATGTACACATCTATATCTATATCTGTATCTACATCTACATCTACATCTACATCTATATCTATATCTATATCTATATCTATATCTATATCTATATCTGTATCTGTATCTATATCTACATCTATATCTATATCTATATCAATATCTATATCTATATCTATCTCCATATCTATCTGATATCTAAATCTACGCATGCTTAGCGCACTTTTCTTGCAGAAGCCAGGGCCCGGAGCAGTGTTTGGGCTTCAGAGTCGGAGATCATGGGAGGGCCGAGTACTACTCTCAAACAACCCCTTGGGGTGTCATTATATTCAACAATAATACAAATACGTAGTTCCTGAGAGCATTGGAGGATTTTTGTGAAACCGCAACCCCCTGGCTGCCGTAGCTCGTCTCCCGACAAGCCGCAACACACTTCCACACCTTAAGCTCTGGATTTTTTTGTTCAGCCCCATTTCTCTAGACATTTAAGGTTTAGGGTTTCCACTGAACCCCACATCCTAAACCCTTCAAGAAGCTTCCGAAGCCCAAAAGGGCGGAGCACTTTTTTTTTTTCCTAAGGCTGGCGGTCCCCGGTCTCCCTTGCTAAGGTTGGCGGTCTCGTTTTGGTTAGAACTACTATGCACTGCAGCATTTCCTCTTGTTTTGCATCTAGCTCTTAGGCAACTGCAATTAGCAGGGTGGCCTTGGGCCGTCAGCTATTGGGGAA